TGCATTAGCAACCCTGGACTGCAGCCCAGGTACCCCTGTGCAGCACAGGCATCCCATCTCTGTGAACAGTGGCAATAATGGGACCCAGGACAGGAACCCCTCCAGCAATCAACCAGATCTTTGAAAAGCGTGAGATCTGCTGCCTGTAGCTTTCAGTGTGGCTTGCACTAGGGCAAATAGAATCACCAACCATTATGCTCTACATCTTGGTCCTACCAGGGAGCAAAACCATTCACTCCTTCCTGCTGCTTCCTCTCTTATCAGCCGTTATAATAATTATTGCTGCTCCTGCTCACCCGCCTCACTTGAGGCCAGGTCCATGAAGAGACAAGCACCAGAGTTACATGGCAAGGGATGATTCCTGTCCCCAAAGCACTGGCAGTCTTGAGGGAGATGTTGTTTGGTTAGAGGTGGAAAATGAGAGAGGAGGGACCCAGCCAAGGTACCTGGGGACTCCATGGCATGGCCAGGACCCAGGCAGAAACTCCCAGTAGTGGCAGAGGGACCTTACTGCTTGGCTGCTTGTGCACTGCAAAACCTCATTTCTTCTTGGAGATGAGCTTGGCCACCAGGCAGGAGCCAGAGATATTTTAGTGTGAAGTATTTACCCAGAAACTCAACTTTTCCTCACTTGAATCGCAATTTCCCACGCCGTATTTGCTTTGTTTGCCTATTTTGCCCAAAGCCATGTTGACCTTTTTTTTTTTTTTCCCCAAGCTCATAACAAAACCATCACAATTTCTGCAGATGCTTCTGATGCAAATTTCCATTTGCTTTATTTGCTCATTTAAAGGTTTCTCTAGTGAAAGCCAGCACCCCGGCATGCGGGTGCATGGGCCAGCGAGCAGCAGCTCGCCAGGTGTCCAGCTCTGCAGGCTGCAACCCTGCTCCACCAGGGACCCAGTTAGAGAGGTGACAGCAGGGAACTGCATTTATTACACAGCAAACCCAGCAGTGGGAAACTTAGTCATCCGCAGAAAATAAGGTTGGAGAATATTTGCTTTTGGCCCTGTTCTCAATCACTTATTGGCGGCGGAGAGGAAGGAGGAACCTGGGCAGGAGCAGGGGGAGGTGAGGGGAGCACAGGAGATGTGGAGGCCGAGCAGCTGTGGAGCTGGAGCCAACTCTGGTAGCCTTCCTCACTGTTCCCAGCTTCTTGTTTTGGGAGACATTGACTTGTCAATGCTTCCCTGTCTTGTCTTTTGCACCACGGGAAATGGGACGTGGTCTTAGAATTAGACAACTCAAGGTACACATGAACATGGCCTTCTCTGACAGGTTTTGGTCTGAAGCAAACGCATTTCCAGCCCTGTCTTTCCTGAGATGGATCAGGTTACATGTAAGCAAGATGTGGCCAGACCCACACAAAGGCAAGCACATGGGCTGTCCCCACAAACAGGACTGAAGGGGCACAGTGATGTGACATTAACTGCTGTGGCAGGATGGGGTGAGGACAGTGCAGAGGTGGGCAGCAAGACCAAAGAGGATCGTGTACCCAGGCAGAAGGTAGCATGCCTTCATTTGCTGAACAGTCCCAGTACCCTCTTCTGAGTACTTAGGGAGATGGTTCCTTTCCAGCTCCGTCTTAGAAGGACAGGGGGTGCTTGCTGGCATTGGGGTATTAACAGGTGACAGCCAGCTAGAAATGGCAGCTCAGGGCAGGGCTGTCCCTGGCTAGTGAGGGACATGGGCTGTACCCCGACCTCCCACTCCAACACCTTCCACAGCCTTCTTCCAGCCACGATAAATAAGTAAGACCCCCTTCTGGAATCACAGAGCTACAGAATCATAGAATGGTTTGGGTTGGAAGGGACCTTAAAGATCATCTAGTTGAAACCCCCCTGCCATAGGGAAAAAAAAATAATAAAAAAGATTTAAAAAAAAAAAAGTTACTTTCAAAACCCAGTGTTTCCACAACAGGGTTTTCTGTTGGGCAATTACCTGCTAGCTGCTGTTACAGCACCTGACGTGGTGACTGGGAGAAAAATACTCCATTAAGTTGTTCCTTCCCACGTGCCCCTCCAGCAGCCCCACCAAGAGCCTTCCCAAGGAGCTCTGCAGTGCCTGTACTGCAGGAACTGACTGTAGATGCAAAGATACACCTGTACGGCAGACAGTGGCTGCAGATGCTATGATACACCTGTACTGCAGGCCTTGAATGCAGACACTGCAGTACACCTGAGCTGCAGATCCTCACAGTAGGTGGTACCATACACCTGTACCACAGATGCTGACTGTAGACACCACAGAACACCCATCCTGCAGGAGAGGTCACAATCTGCCTGTCCCCGAGGTGTGATGCTACACCTGTAGTGCAGATACCATCTGTATTCATTACAGTGCACCTGCATGGGACACACCCACAGCAGACACCTCCTGGTCCCCAGCCCCACAGAAACACCCTGACCAAAGCCACTCTCAAATACTCAGCCCACCTGTTAGCTAGCAGAGACCCTGCCACAGCCTTCCCCAGTCCCAGGGACCTGGGGTGTCCTGCAGCAAGATGCTCTCCTTCCTGGCAGGCAAGGTGGATCCCTGCCGGGATGAGCAGGGAAGCACTACAGTGGGCAGGACACTCTCCTG